TCTGCTCGGCCTGCGCCGCCTCCTGCCTGGTGCGGGGCCGGCTCTGCCTCGGCCTCGCCCTTGACTCGTGCCCGTCACTTTTCCCTTCGTGGTCTCCGAAAGGACTCGGCCTCGCGTGGGTTTTCGCCCACCGTTGTGCGATTGAGGTCATTTCAGAAGTTGTGATAAAGCTGAGCCAGGCCGGCCTGTCAGCCGCACCAGGGAAGGATCGTCCCCGTAGAGTTTCAGGGCACAAGAAACGTCTTTGCACGGTTGTTGAATGGGTCAGTACTTAAATACGGCCTTGCTGGTGTTAATCATCGTTTTATTTAGCTAAGGGTAAAACTCCTGAACGTATGCATACCTGTAACGCACACTTCTATATACATGAGGGAGACAAAGTGCTTTCCATACTCTTTTCCTCCGCTGTGTTGGTTCTTTAGAGCGTGATTCTCCTAGTCCTTTGAGTTCAAAGCGTTTAAATACCTTTTAAATACACACAAAAACTTAGGGTTGCACGTATGTACGAACACCGTATCATTTTGTGAAAAGATTAATTCAGGTCTCCGATGAAGGGTAACAGCTTCAGCTGCCACAGTGACTGCTGTTTGGCTAAGCTTAAATATAAGCTAAACTAACTTAGGATGATAATAACTAGAAAGAATGCCTTTCTGTCTTGGAGTTCCCCTCCCATCGATGGTTTGCTCTGCCTGACAAGCTTCGCTGTCCAAGTACAAACCAGACTCAACACTGATGAATTAAAATTGTAGCGCACAGAATAATCTAAACTAAAGCTACAAAAAAAATTTAAAAGCACGTTTTCTGTAACATCACAAAGTCTACCTGCATGGAGCATCTTGCAGGATTAAGTAACGATGAAGATGAGTTTTGTTACTGCTGACAGCAAGTATTCCCTCCTTTGGAGAGAGGGAGAGGATTTTAGCTTATTGTTTGTACAAACATAATTATCCAAACAGTAATTTAGAGAGGAGAGCATGGACCTGAAGAGAGTTGGAACATGTTGGGGTTTTTTTCTCTTGTTAACTGTAAGAAAATAACCAACTGCGTCTTAAATTGTATTTATTTCTTTCTTTGCCCTTACACCCCTGACTTAAACGAGTTCTGATCTCATGTGAATGCAAAGGAATGCATTTGGTCAGCCTGGTTATCGGTTTACATACAAGGGCATTCTCCACTCTCCAGCGAGCAGAAGTACTTGTTTCTCCAATAACTAAACATATTGACATATGTGGAATGCACTTTTATTCTCTTTCCCCAAAAGCCACACTCTTAGTGTATAGAAGAGCCAAGCTGTTTGTACTTTACCTATAATTTCGATAACTTCCTATTAAATTTGGAGGGGAAAAAACCAAAGACTTTTTATCACAGAAGCACGGGGGTTGGAAGGGACCTTGGGAGATCATCCAGTCCAACCCCCCTGCTAAAGCAGGTTCACCTAGAGCATGTTACACAGGACTTCGTCCAGGCGGGCTTTGAATATCTCCAGAGGAGGAGACTCCACAACCCCCCTGGGCAGGCTGTTCCAGGGCTCTGTCACCCTCAAAGTGAAGAAGTTCTTCTGCATATACAACTGAAACCTCTCATGCTTCAGTTCGTGTCCATTGCCCCTTGTCCTTTATAAAGCTACTGCTTTTGATCCACTTCTCCTGGTTTCACCTTCTCTTTCTTTTCTGCTCATAGTGCAACTACATAAAGTGCCCAGGTATTTTGCTGACTTGCTGTCATCATCCTTGAGAAAAAAGTTTATAGCTCTTAGGTAGTCCTGTGAGGGCAGCCTCCAGCAGCTGGTACAAGGACAAGCGGGGGGTGGGAGGGCTGCGGAAGCTCTGGTTTAGGGGGGCTTAGGTTGGTGGCACATTTCACCATTGGTTATCCTCTCTTGCACCGACAGCCAGTGATGGACGGAACCGTCCAGTTTCTTGATTTGCTAGGCGAGCGTAAGGCACTCCAACGCACAGGCTCCTTACAAAATGCTGTTGTGGCTGATCTCAATAAACAAACAACTACTTGTTGACTGAAAAGATTGGCCCCTCCTGTTCTGATAGTCTGGAGGGCTTGCCAATACCTGGAACAAATTCATTGTTTCAGACTGGGAAGACTCAGGTATGTACCTGGTATTTCCCAGGAGAGGGCGTAAGCATCAGAAATGCCTAATTATTGAACATTGGGTTTGGATTCACATACTTTTAACCTGAATTTTCAGTATCTTTATATATCTTCTGTGTAAAAGTTATCTAACTTGTCGTTTATTGGGTTCTGCTCTTGTCTCTCCCACCCACTTAGGTGAGGGTGACTGATATCAGAAGGGAGATTTATTTTTCATGATTGGACAGCCAAGTGGTAGCCAAAATACTTCATTCTTCCCATTACAATAGATGTTTTTACTACTTACTAATATTTCTTCTTCTCCTTTAGCTGTTTATATTTCTGTATCCGAGTCCCCTTTTCAGAACTCTTTAGTCCTGGCTCTGCTTTGCTCATTAAGCCTCAGCGAATCACTTGCGCCTTTGTGAATTGCATTGCCCATCATGAAACAGAGATCCTTGCCTATGTGTAAGATACCATTTATACAGTAGCTTGGGATTAAGAGGTGCTACTAAAGCATGATACACGGATATTAGGGGAAAAGTATCAGTTTAAGAGACATCTACTGTTGCATCTGTGCATCTACTGTTAAGTTTTACA